GGAGCTGTCCTCGCCGACCTGTCCGAGGCGCCCGGCGAGCCGGACGGGTTAAGCCCAGACGGGAAAGACACCACCGAGGAGATGGAGCACAACATCCTGGTGAACTTCTTCAAGACCATGGGCTACTCGCAGGACATCGTGGAGAAGGTCATCCGGGAGTACGGGCCGTCCGCCGAGCCCCTGCTGCTGCTGGAGGAAATCGAGAAGGAGAACAGGCGGAGCCAGGAGGAGCGGGAGTCTGCGCCTGAGACCAGCAAAGCCAAACACAAGGGAGTTTGTAGCAGCACCAACGAGTTCACCGTGGATTCCACCCCAAAGAAAATGCAAGCTCACGCACAGCAAAATACGGTGAAGAAATTTCCTCTGCTACCGTTCAAAGTGGAATCAAAACCGTGTACCTCAAACTGCAGAATGAACGCTTACAAAACAGGGCCGATGGAGCAGAGGCCGGAGCCCTGGGGGCCGCACCCCAACTACGGCGGGAACATGGACCTGGAAATCGATGGCTTTGCCCCCTCCGTCGCCCCTTCGAGTCCCAGTTTTGTTTCGAGGGGAGTGTCAGGTCACCAGCCCAGGATTCCGGTTTTCCCCGAGAATGGGGTGCAGCCGCACGGAGAGGCCCTGCTCCCCAACCATCTCAAGTCGGCCTGTGAGAGCCGGGCCGGCTGCCTCGGCTCCCCGCAGTCCAGGCCGAACTGCCAGCCCCTCCCGGCCACGCCGCTGCCCCCGCTGGGGCTCTCGGCCGGGTTCTCCGATCACATCGACCCAGGCCGAAGCCAGCCCCTCCCGGCCACGCCGCTGCCCCCGCTGGGGCTCTCGGCCGGGTTCTCCGATCACATCGACTCCTCGGTGACGGGGGTGCAGAGGTTCCGAGACACCCTGAAGGTGCCCTACAAGCTGGAGCTGAAGAACGAGCCGGGGAGGACGGACCTGAAGCACATCGTCATCGACGGGAGCAACGTCGCCATCACGTAAGTCCACGCGGCCGCGCACACTGGTTCCCAGCAGCACCCCAAGCAGCACCCCAGGATTGCGTGCGTTGGGGGGACGGTCCTGTGTGTGTCTAGTCGGTCTGGGCTTCCCTGCAGGGAGCAGCTGGGTGGGAAGCCTTGCTGCTCCACCTTCTAGAGCCATCGCTTGGTCCACCTGCGGGCCTTGCATTTCGGTGGCAGGAGATGATGGAAAGGGTGTCTTTTCACATCGCTTTGCCCGGTGATAAGCAGCGCGGAGACTTTTAAATGCTTAGTTTTTTAAAGAATGTATTTTTATTGATTTCAGAGAGGAAGAGAGAGATAGAAACATCAATGATGAGAGAGAATCATGGATCGGCTGCCTTCTGCAGGCCCCCACCTGGGGATCGAGCCCGCAACCCGGGCTCGTGCCCTGACTGGGAATCGAACCGTGACCTCCTGGTTTATAGTTCGACGCTCAACCACTGAGCACCCCTGCCAGGCTCACATGTGTCATTTCATCCACAATTATTTTAGTATCTATTTTTTAAAATAAGAGGATTCTTTTTATTTTTTTTTTAATAAATTATTGATTCTGTCCTTTGCTGTCAAAAAAAAGAGGAAAGAAGAAAGAGCCAGCCTCGCACATCACAGCTTGAGGCGAGGCAGTAAAAAGATGCATGAACGTGTCTGATTCCAAACAGTGTGTTTGCTGGCCTTCGCTGTGCTGTTGGCAGTTCCTCCGGGGAAGCCCAGCGAATGGCCACAGCTGCCGCGTTATCCAAGGAAAGTGTAAGTGCGCTGCAGGCACAGCCCGCCAGCACCAGTTCCTCATTGTCACAATGTTTGGAGCCAAATGATGATATAAAGTGTAGGTCACGATTGTGAGTAACATTAATCCTTGGTCATTTTCCTGTATGTGGAAAGATTTCCCAGATTGCTGTTCAAAGAATAAGAAATGCAAATTAACCTAGGATAAGTGTTGATAACTTTGTGTTTGTGTGTTTTTTATTGACTTCAGAGAGGAAGGGAGAGGGGGAGAGAGAGATAGAAAAATCAACGATGAGAGAGCATGATTGATCGGCTGCCTCCTGCACACCCCCTTACTGGGGATCGAGCCCGCAACCTGGACATGTGCTGTTTACCAGAATCGAACCTGGGACCCTTCAGTCCACAGGCCGATGCTCTATCCATTGAGCCACACCAGCCAGCGCAGTAATGACACGTCCTTAAAACCTATTTGGAGTAGTAGTGCATCTCTCAGAGGGGCTGCTGGGGCTCGGAGCTGTGTGTGTATCCAAGACAGGGTGATTTGCATATCTGGCCCCTCCCACTGTGGCCAGAATGCCCCCCACCACCAGTCATGTGACAGCCCAACACGCTCCCAGGGTTTCCCTAACACCCTGGGGTACCCTCCTGCCCTTGAAAACCTCTGAATCAGTGCTCTCAGGGAAACCACAAGCTGACTTCTGCGAATTTTTAAAAAACTGATAGTTTTGGGAGGGTTTCCATTTTCTCTGAATTCACAAGATGTCTCAGTTTTAAAGCACCATTTTCACAAAGAAGACAGACTTACAGCTTGATGTAGGTGGATTTGAAACTATCAGTAATTAAAATTAACTTATTCTGGAGAGAAACGGCTTAACGGTTGGAAATATTTTGGAACAAGATATAAGCGGTGGTTGTGTCCTAAACACCACGGAATTGTTCACTTTAAAATGATGGTTTTTTGTTGTTTATCGCACCTACATTTTTTAGGCGTTGGGAAAACATTCACCCTTATTCTAAATTAACTGCTTCGATGTGAAACGTGAGCTATAGACTCCGAGTTCCATGAAGAAAGTGACCGTGTCTGGTCTGTTCTCCGAACGCCCCCCAAGGTCATGGTGCCTGGCACCTGGTGCTCAGTCACAGGAAGAATGAATGAGAGAGGAGGTTGCTAAAGATGAGGCTTCTTGGCCCTGGCGGGTGTGGCTCCGTCGGTTAGAGCATCATCCTGATACGCCAAGGCTGTGGGTTTGATCCCCGGTCAGGCCACATACAAGAATCCACCGAGGAATGCATAGCTAAGTGGAACAACAATTCCTCTCTCTCTCTTTCCTTTCCTCTCTCTTTAAAATCAGTTTGTTTGTTTTTTTAAAAAAGAAAAGATTAGGACTTTTTAAATGACTTTTCACCACCCATTTATAACTTGTAATTCCAGTTGCTATTTCAATAATCGATTTAGGTTAAACTTTGAGGCCGTATATTTAATTTAACAAATATTTGGAATCTTAAAGCTGAAACTGATATGTGTTAGGTACTATAATTTATCTTTCTTTAAAAAAAAGTTTGTATGGGTTGTAGTTGTCGAGAGAGAGGAAGGGGGAGGGAGAGAGGGAAACATCAGCAGAACCTGCGGCCTGGGCATATGCCCTGGCTGGGAATCCGACCGGCGACCCCTGGGTGCCCGGGATGACGCTCAACCAGCTGAGCCCCACCGACCAGGGCATGACTTCATCTTTCTTTTTTCTTTTTTCTTTTTTTTTTTAATTTATTGATTTCTTACAGAGAGGAAGGGAGAGGGATAGAGAGTTAGAGACATCAATGAGAGAGAAACATGGATCAGCTGCCTCCTGCACACGCCCTACTGGGGATGTGCCCGCAACCAAGGTACATGCCTTTGACCGGAATCGAACCTGGGACCCTTGAGTCCACAGGCTGACGCTCTATCCACTGAGCCAAACCGGTTAGGGCTGTACTTCATCTTTCAAAACAAACTTCACACCCGCTCTGTGAGGTAAAGATTATCCGGAATTTGCACAACATAAAGTGGCCTGGAAATCTTGTCCAAGATAACACAGGCATGAGATGCGGCCCCGACGGTCCCTTCCCTCCGGACACCCTGCCTCTGCCCGTAGAAATGGAGGCGGGACTAGGGGGCCTGGGCAACGTTGGATGCCCACGCTGAGCTGCTGACGCCCTGCCGGGCGCACCTCACTCCTTCCACCCCCCCATTGGGGACCCCGTGCACCAGGAAATCTGGGTCCTTAAGCTACAGGGTCTTGGGACCCCACCCATCGCCGGGCTTCTGCCCGCAGGTCATGCCCCGTGAGAAATTCCCAGCACCCTCCGGGCTGCGGGTGACACAGATCTGTACCTGGTTTTTCCCCTTGGTCACCGTGAGTGACTCAGGATGAGTCAATGGAAATGGCTGCGGTGAGTCCCCGGCATCGAGTGGGGCCGGCGCTGCTCTGTGGGCCCCGCGTGCGAGCACCTGACTCCTGGGCGGGTTTTCCTCGGGGCTGAGGCCGCCCCCGCTGGCCGAGCTGTGTGACCCTGTCCATGCTGGTCGCCCCACGGCAGGTCCCGGCTCTTTGCTAAGCGGGAGCCACAGACGGAAGCGGCTCTCTCCGGGGCCACTGGGAGAGGTTTCACTTTCCCCGCTGATGCCATCGGTTCCTTGTTGTGTTTGGTAATCCTGACCCCAGGATATTTTTCCCGTTGCTTTTTTTTTTTTTTTTTAAGAGGGAGAGAGAGTGGAAGGGAGGGGGAGGGACAGCGAGAGAGAAACATCGATGTGAGAGAGACACATCAATTGGTTGCCTCCCACACACGCCCGACTGGGGGGCCGGGGATGGCGCCTGAAGCCGAGGGGCATGCCCTTGACCCGAATCGAGCCCGAGACCCTTCCGTCTGCCGGCCGACGCTCTAACCACTGAGCACACTGGCCAGGGCCCTTGTCCTCCGTTTTCATCCCCCGTCACCCACCTCCTTCCTGCGTTGGACACTTCCTGCTGGCTGGCTGCCTGCGACAGCGTGGGGACCACCAGGTGATACGTAGCTCGTTTCCAGGGAGGCGGCAGCCGGGCCTGGGCCTCCCCTGCGAGCCCGCACACCTGCCCGGGCCGGTGCCTTC